TGATTTACCAAGGTGTTTGGATCCTTTTCTAGTAAAAATAAACCAGTGTTGTTACTGCAAAAATTAATAATTATTTTATATCCAGACAGGCAATGTCTACACTATTTGTCAAATAGTGCAATAGTCTTGGTAATAATAACAATACTAATACTAATACTAATACTAATACTACTTCATCAGTTTAAAATCACTCTTAAATATTCATATTTCAGTTCTGATCTCGTCTGTGTCCATGAGATTGCCAAAAGAAACTGTCCATCAAGCAGGCACCAAATTAAACACCATGCATTTCAATCTGCTGCAGCAAAGTAGTTTGCTTCATTTCATTTCTGCAGAAAGTCCAAGAAATACACCAGGTCAAGTGTAAACTGAGCAAACATATTCCTTCCTGCCTGCTTTTAAAAAATTTCAGACCCTTGTACACTTCCTTGACCTTTTTTATAAACATGATAACATTTATTCACCTAACTCTCGTGTATGGACAAGCTGTATTAGCCCAAGATCTGCACAAGGCTTCCAATAGCAGGAATGTGTACTTTGCTAGATTTTACCAGGCCTATTCCCTGTTTCCTTTACAGTGGTTTGACTTCAGCATAATTGCAGGGATTTCACTGGAGGTATCCATGGTTCAGGAAAGGAGATTTGGAATTCTGAACTTTCTGTTACTGCGGAGAGGCCTAGAAAGAGCATATCCCAGTTCACCTGGAAAGTGTATTCCGGAGCTCCCCACTACATGCTACCATTGAGCCTTTCTTACCTGTTTCCATAGTATTTATTAAATTAGGTATGTCCTAGAAAAAGATAGGACCCTGCAGCTGGGCCCACCTGCACTGCTATTTACAGAGCCTGAATTAGACTCCACGCACACAAAATTAAATCCCAGACCCAGCTGGGCCAACAGTACTTTGGCCATTACTTTTTTAATGCATTTGGCTTTGATCAACACTCCACAAGGTTCCAGTGTGAGAATTGCTTTTCCTACCTTTTCACAACACTGTGTGGCTGACAGAAAGGGCAGAGCTGATCTTCAGACTGGCAATTTGGAAGGGCAGGGCTAATCCCATGCCAGGCAGGTCAGAGGGTATTGGTGTGAAAGCAGACCCCAGCCATCACTACTGAGAGGTTTCTTGTCCAGCCATTCCTGATACATGTTAATAGCAGCTCCACACTGCAGAAAATTTCCCTAATTAATTAGCTAAGTTCCATGATGTGCTCCCTGGTAGTTAATGCTCTCTGAACATTAACAGCTCAGCACACACTTACTGAACACCTCTGGGTTTGTCCATTTGCTCTTACACATGGACATGAATGATTGAACTTCTTTCTTCAGAAAAACAATAATCTGATAGTTTATAGCAACTGACTGGTGGCCAGAAAGGAAATGCAGAGATTTTACTATTCCCAATGGAGTCATATGGCATGGAACACATTTTAAAAATAGATTTATTCCCACTGATTTTACTTCTATACCAGCATTTCCTTGATATGATCCAGTTTGGCTCTTCTTGCTCAGGGATAGTTGGGAATGACAGGATGGGGATATTAGTGAGGGGAAGGGAGTGCAGTTCCAAGACCTTGTCCACACCATGGGATGTGGGAATGAGTGCTGCCCTAGCTGGTGGTGATGGAGGAGCTGAAACCCCATCCTCCACACTGGGAAACCTGTGCCTACAGGCCACTTTCATGATGCCCTAAACCAGGGTACATCTCCAAAGATGTGCAAAGCATTATATTCTTTGTTCTGTTCTCCAGTTCTCTATTATCAGAATAGCAAAAGTTCTTATCTCCCTGAGTGCTGTGACCCATCCAGTCCCTCCAGGAGCAAGACGTCAGTACAAACACAGAAAAGAATTAGGATGTACTTCAGTGAGTAACGTGTGCTCAGGGCTGAGTTTCATCCTTGGATACCGGAGCAGGCAGCTGATGAACCCTCTGAACCAAGCAGAGTTACTGAAACCAGAAAGCATAAAACGATCCCTGTGTTAAAAACAGGGAGAAGGGACCTGGGGACTATCCCCTCTGTCTGCTTTGGCAAGCAGTGCCACACAGCAACAGGTTAGGTAGCTGGAGACTCAGTTCAGAAATGAACCCTTGATCTGAACTAAAATATTGATACAGATGCATTTGAATCATTAGTTGAACACTAGATCCTGGGAAAAAAAAATCTGGAATAAATAATCAAAAAGTTTTAGTGAGCACATAAAATAAAGCAGTTAATAGCAGTCAATAAAAATTTAAAGAGACTGCGTCAAACCAGTATAATTTCAACCTACAAACCCAGACCTGTGGCTAGGAGGAGACAGAGTAGATGCCCTATATCATAAGCTCAATATGAAACTCTCAATAGCTTTCACATAAATACACTACAGAAATGTGGTTTTCATGAAATTATTTTAACATGGGCACAGCTCTGTTTGCTGTAAGAATGACTGTAAGAAACTTCCTTGGGGCACACACAGCCAGAGGCAAAGGCAAAGGGCTGGAAGCATCTGGCTATGCCCCAGCTCTTGAAGAAAAAAACTGCAGGTCAAAGCAAGCCACTGGCTGAATTATGTCAATGTTGTGCAAAAGGTAAATTATAGAGGTGTATAAATGAGGTATGTGAAACAATAATCCTTCTGCTTCATTCCCTTGCAATATCCTGTTTAATTCTGAGCACTGCATGATAAGCAGCCCAGAGGAGAATGATGGTGATGATGGGAAGTCTGGAAGAGCTGAACCAGAAGACTGAACTCGCAGGTCTGATCCTGAAAAGTCCAAGCTGAGATGGTGCGTGTTCTCAAATAGGCACATGCCTGCTGAATCTAATCTCCAGATTTGTTTTCGATAAGACAGGAATGAATGGACTCATGTTACAGAAAAGAAGATTTAATAAACATAAGCAAAATCTTTGCTATCATACAAATCTCTATATTGCCTGGACAGGTTATCCAACTAACATCACTGAAAGTCTTCAGGACTGGGTTACATACATGTCTATGAAAAAGGACAGAAGTATTTAAAATGCTTGTTTGAGGACTGTTTCAGTCCTGTGAGTGAAAGATTTTGATATGAAGAGAAAAAAAAATCAGTTTTAATCATTCACAGACATGTAAAAATATTCTTACTAGGTGAACCCCATCTAGTATGGTATCTATGATGTGTGCCAGATGTCCTAATGTTATTTATTTTCTCTGTAAATAAAAGTTGAACACAGACTCAGCTCCCTGCTTGGGATATTGCTAGACTGTGAGAAAAGAACTGAACTGTATTATGTAGCAAAAGTATTATTATTAATACATCATAAAAATTTCACAGTGTGGTGAACCAAATTACAGGTAGTTTTAATTTCCTCACTGTGGTCAAGAATGGGCTGTCCAGGCAGATGGCGGGGTCAAGAAACCACTGGATATGGTACTTAGTGCCACGGTCTCATTGATGTGGTAGTGTTCAGTCAAAGTTTGGACTCAATAATCTTGGAGGGTTTTTCCAACTTGGTCTGTTGTGGGCACAGAAAACTGACAGAAGCATAGGGCTAAATGTGTGGGAGTCTGGATGTGGCAAAGGCTTACAGTCCTAGAGTTAAAAAAAAAATAAAATAAATAAAAACAAGTACATGGAAAGTGACCTGCAGGAATCACACTCCTCAGAACCTTACAGCTACTAATTTCATCGTATTAAAAAATAGAGAGGCCTGAAAGGTGCTGCCTTGATCTGCAGAGTAGAAGGGCAGCAGTCTCTCTCTCTGCTGAGTCTCTTGGAACACTTCAGAAAGAACAAACAACCCCCCCACTATGAATATTCTTCTTAAATGCCTGTCTACTGAGGAATATAAATGGGAATGTTTTGACAGTGATAGATAAGGTCCTTCTGATCCACAAGACATCTTGAATAACCAGAGGACATCATTGACCCATATGTGGTAGGTTTTCACTATGATGTGACACAAGACTGAGATTCTGAGTCTCCAGGAGTGACTTTGTGACTTCAACAGCCTCTACTTTTCACTTTCTAAACTATATTAAACTCCAAATTTCCGTGCAGCCTTATGTCAGCAGTGGATTACTTTATTTTTCCCATTCGGTTTCTATAAGACAGTTGGAATACAAACACCATGTGTTTTCATATTTCAATACACTTTTAGGAACTGGGAAGGAGTGCATTCCAGCTCCCCTTCCCACGACGAGGCTCCGTGTGGGTGCTCTGCCCTCTGCCGGGGCTGCTCAAGAGGGAAGGGAATGACGCCGGAGAAATTGCTTATATTTAGGGACAGAAGAAAACCCGGAACTGTTTGGCGCGGTGCCTGGGCTTGGGCAGCGCGCTCAGCTCGCGGGGGCATGGGCTCCGCGGATGAGCCCATCTCCCTTAGAGCCATGTCCTGTGTGCCCACAGGATGGCAGCCACGTCCTGCTAACGGCCACAAGGAGCTGCAGAACCACAGAATCGTCACGGTGACCTCTAGAGATCACCCTGTCCAACCCCCTGCCTAGGCAGGGCCCCCTGGAGCAGGTGACACAGGAGCGTGTCCACGTGGGGTTGGAATTGTCTCCACAGAGGGAGACTCCACGCTCTCTGGGCAGCTGTTCCAGGGCTCTGCCACCCTCAGTGTACAGAAGTTCTTTCTCATGCTGAGCCTCTTGTGTTTAGTTTATGGCCCCGTCCATCACCCCGTCCCGTCACTAGAAAGAGTCCGGCACCACCCTCTTAGCACCCTTTGAGATATTTGCATGCATTAATGAGATTCCCTCAGTCTTCCTCTAGACAAGAGAGATACACACCACAGAGGTAGGTGCGTTGGACGGTCCAAGGAGCCACGAAGACCGGACTTTGTGGGCCACCTTGTGCCAGAAGAGCACCCCCTCCTCCCTAAAAGGCGGCAATTTCTCCACCCCACACCCCGGAGTCCCCCAAATGGCGCCTCCTTCGCTGTCCCCTCCGCCTCCTTCCGCCGCTCTGCGCACACGCATGCGCGGCAGCGCAGGACTACATTTCCCGGCAAGCCCCGGGGGGACGGTCCGCGTGCGTGGCAGGGCGCGGCGGGAGAGGAGCGGAGCGGGACAGGGACAGAGACACGGGCATGGATGCAGGCGAGGGGAGGGCGCAGCCCCATCTGGCCGCGCTGGTGCTGGCGCGGGGCGGCAGCAAGGGGATCCCGCTGAAGAACATCAAGCTGCTGGCGGGGGTGCCGCTCATCGGCTGGGTGCTGCGCGCTGCCATCGACGCCGGCGTCTTCCACAGGTGCGCATGCGCCGCTTCCGTCTACCCTTCCCCTGGCGTGTTCTGATTCGGGGTGGAGGTGCCGAGGGACCCTGGCGTAGGGAGGGGTTGGGGGAAGCTGCCATTTCATCAAGAGGGTCTTCGGGATGACTGTCAGTGGCTGCAAGGAGGGCTTAGAGCAGGGATCAGGCTCTGCTCCGTGGGGCCCAGCAATGGGACAGGAGAAGCGTCGGGAACTGGGCCGGAACCAATGCCCAGGAAGTTCCACCTGGACTTTAGGAAGAGCTTCTTTACTGGAACAGGCAACCCTGAGAGTGTGTGGAATCTCCCTCCGTGGAGATACTCAAAAGCTGCCTGGATGGAATTCTGTACAACTTGCTCACCTGGCAGGTGATCCTGCTAGAGCAAGGAGGTGGGAACAGATGACCCGCTGTGGTTCCTTCCAGTCTGACCCATGCTGTGACTCTGCCAATGAGGCAGGATTGATCCTCACTTAAGACAAGGGGATGCAGTTACTGGGGCACCAGGTTAAGGGTCAGGCAAGGCAAGCACCCTGCCAGGAACTCAGCTATCCCTTCCTGCTGAGGGTGAGCCGCAGAGGAATAAAGGAATTAAAATCTTACAACATAGTAATTTGAAATTAAAGTTGTTCTGATGCATGGTTGGGTGGTGACTAGCTGGTGATGTTTGCCTGTAAATATTGATGGGTTTGCTTTATTAAGACATCCTCATTAAATGGGACTGCCTGGCTGGAGATGATCTCCTGTGAGCTGCTGAAGCACAGGATGACTGATTCATGGTCATCTGGGTACTCAGGACAGCATGCAATGAACTTGGGATCTCCAAGGAGACCCCACAGCTCTTCTGTTCCTTTAACTGCATTCACCCAAAAAAATCTTCCTTGTTTTCTCTCTGCCTGCCCAGCAGTGAAGACAGCAGTGAAATCACCTCCTTGCTGAGATGTCTCTGTCAGCATCTCCTGGCATATGTGTGGTTCCAGGCCCAGTCAATGTGCTGGCTCCTGCTGAACTTGCTCCTGTTTTCCATTTTGGTGTCAGGGCTTCACAGCTGGACACAGCACATCAGAAGCCGTCTCATTCAAATGTCAAGTTGAAGGAGAGAATCTTGTGTGCCCATGTAACACAGAAGAGAAGCTCGGTTTGTCCCCAAGTGCCTGCAACTTTGATAGCAATAATTAGAGCTAGATAGAAACACGTGTGTTGTTGGTGTTGAGAATAGAGGCATTACAGGTTTTTCTGCAGGAGCAAGACTGAGTATTTTCTACACATTTGCTGATAATTAAAGCCATGGTTAGGATGTGCTTAGTGCATAACACAGGGGCAGGTCCCCTGTGCAAACCTGCTGCATAATGCTCAAAGCAAATTAAGTGTAGTCCAGTTAGATCCAGAGCACTTTGTATCTCATAGCTGCTCTATCATTATGTAGCCTGGAAAATGTTTCTTGCTGTATTTGAAAAGTAGAGGGTGCAGCACTGTTTTATTTTTAATAAAGAAACAGACAAGGACACTTCTGACCGAGGTTACTGATAATTTCTTAATGATTGTGAATCTATATTGCTGAATGACCTGCTGTGGCTTCTGTTTGGCATCTGAATTTTCCCAACAGGAAGCCAGTCAGGGTTGTGCAGCCTGACTTTGAGGCATGGCAGGTGCAGTAGGTGGACAGGTTTGCCTGGTCACCTTTTGGAACTTTGTGCAGGGTACCTGTTACACAACACAACTTTGGTGGTTGAATGGGGAGTGTGTATTTAAGTTCACCATCCCAAAGCAGTTTCTGGAAAACACCTCTTGTGTATTTGTTCTTGTGGGTGTGACTTGACATTTCTGTTGCTGTCACACATATTTTTCTTCTGATCATCCCACGATGAGTTTGGGAGAGGAAGTAATAACTGCAGTACCATTTGCTGTGGACAGTGCACTGAGAATGCCAGCATTGGTGAGAGACGAAGGGTGACTTTCCATAGCTTTTGTTTTTACACCTCTCATGCTTTTTTGTCACAACGATGACAGCAGTGGCTTCACAGTTGTTCAGTGTTTGTCATCACATGATATTCTGAATTAGCCCTTCCTTTTGTAAATGTTTATTTTACCTGAACAGTCGCAATCTTGCATTACCAGTATTGGAAGTTTTCTGTGCCAAAGCACATGGAATTTGAACAGCTCCTTCTCTGGGATTGTACGGAACCCAATTAACGCATTTTAACACACTTGCAGTATAAGCTAATCTTTTAACTTTGTGGCGGTTTTGCTTGTTGTAGACTAAACTCTTACATGATTCTGAATGCTACATCCAACCCATTCACAATTCATTGATCTGTTAACAGGCCTAACAAATTCTTTGTGCTGACACTGGATTTTTCTGGTGGTACTTTTAAATTTTATTGCCTAAGCTTCCTGCATGGAATGCAACTCAAGATTCAGCTTTTACACTCTGGTGAATGTGTATGTTTTAGTCCCATTGTTAAGAGCTGCTTGTTGGGCTGACTGTGATAGTTTTATTAACACAAATACAAGAACAAGTTCCTTTCATTGCAAGGTGTAGTAGAGACATTAACAAACTGGGGGTTTTTTTCACGTTAAGTTACAACAGGCAAGTGAACAATGGTGGGATTTATTCTTTGTATTAATTTCTGTTACTGTCTGCCAACAGCATATGGGTTTCCACAGACCACGATGAGATCGAGAAGGTTGCAAAGCAGTTTGGTGCTCAGGTCCATCGCAGAAGCCCTGAAGTCTCTCAAGACTCCTCAACTTCTCTAGAAGCCATCACAGAGTTTCTCAATCATCATCGTGGTAAATCAGGGATGAAATATGCTGAGCTTTTATTTTGTAGCCCCAGAGGGATGATGCACTTATTATTTAGAAAAATAAGTAAAGCATTGAGTATATAAATCTAGAAAGATTCTTATTTTTGTTGTTGTTGTTGTTGTGTGGTACCTACTCATACCACACTTTGCAGTTGTGTTACTAAAGATATGAATTATTTCATAAATATCTCTTTATTTTTCTTTAGAGGTTGATATTGTAGGAAATATTCAAGCAACATCTCCCTGTTTGCATCCCAGTGACCTTATAAAAGTAGCAGATCTGATCCAGAAGGAGGGGTTTGATTCTGTCTTCTCTGTTGTCAGGCGGCATCAATTCAGATGGAGTGAGGTAAAGAAAGGAGGTAATATTTAGATGTTTCTGGTTACAGTTACACTTTTTTTTTTCCCCCCTCCTCAAATTCTTGCTTTTCATACCTATGCTATTTTAGGAAGTGATGTCTGAGGCATGGATTGAGTTCCCTCTGAGTTTTGTGAGGGCTTAGAAATTCCTTCCAAGCACTGGTGTCTTGATATTACTGAGCATTGCTCAGCCTTTCTGTAACTGTTCTGTAGAAATTAAAATTATATTAGCCTGTCTAGGCTGAAGATACAGTTCCAAAAAAACCTTATATGTTAACTTCTTACTAGTGGGTATTCATGTGTATTCAGACATGACACTGTTGTCCTAACTAGAAAACTGCTTGTTAGCTATGCAGTAGCTAAAAAATGACCAATAATGCAAGATAAAATCTTGGTGAGGATGGGATGACAGTCTCTTGGCCTGGAGACTTAGGCTTTGTTTCATTGTGATAATTTGGCTGCTGACTTGTGTTGCTTTGCAAAATGCCTTTGAGACGTGAGGGCTGAACTCATGTTGGTTAGCTTATCCAGAAAAATGTGACTGGTTTTTCCTAGAGAAAATATGCCTCTCAACTACAGTGGCCAAGATGACCAAAGGCTGAAATTTTACAAATAAAGACTGTACCTTGGTTTAGCCATAAAGCACCTTTTGTCCTGGTACAAAGAGCTATTCCATACATTATATATGTTGGCTTTCTTTCTATGGTTAAAGCAGAAATTTTTTCTTCATCTTTAAAAATGGTTATTTCAGATGTCGTCATACTGGAGTTTTGGGTTGAGTTTGCTTCTTGGGATTTTTTTTGTTTGCTTTTTAATGAAAGTTACTCAGGCATTACAGTTACTCTGTTGAGATATAAATTGCTTCAGATGAATTTGTTTTTTGTGAGTTTACAAAGCATCATGCTGTAAAAGAGCATGTGTAATAAATGAAGCTTGATCTGAGAGATAAGTTGGAATAAAAGCTAAGCCTTTGTTTAGAACAAACACTTGAACACTGTCATTGTTCCTCATAAGAGGAGAAATAAGTGACACTGTACAATATAAGAGGACTATAAAAAGCATGGGTAGCAATTTCAGGATTCTGTGGATTGCAGTTTAGGAAGCCACATGCACATCTTGAGATGCTGGAAGGGACAAATGTGAAAGACTGAATCTCATGCGGATGTGACATGTGGCTTCCTGAAGTGGTTGTATGCCAGAACGCCTCAAGGCATAAAGTAATGTAATTACTTCAGCATAAAATGACATCAAAATGTTTTTAATGTGGTGAGATATGAGGAATCATTCAACTGCAAGGACTGAGGAGAGCTGGAAACACATTGTGCCAACATGAGCAGCTTAAGGATAAATGCAAATGGCCTTTCAGGAGTGTGGTGTTTCAGGTGACAGTGATTCGCAGCAGCATTATACAATGTTTTTTCTTCTTTTTATTTTTCCATTTGGCTTTGGAGTACCAATCATGCTAAAAGAATTTAATGGGTTGTTTTTTTTTCTGTGTAGTTCTGTTGCTTCTTCTGTATTAAGGTTTAATATTGATAAACACTGAAAGAGGAAGGTGTCTCTCTCCAACTGGAAATGTTTACTTCAGTGAGCACAAAGCTTTAGTTAGTTATGAAGCACAAGGTGTGTGTATATCTACTAAAGCCTCAGGATGTTGTGGGTGTTTGAGAATGCCCTCTTAACTTTTCCATGGTTACTGGATCATGAGACTGGTGAATTTTAGCCGCTTTGTGCATCTGGATTGAAAGGGCTTAAGGACAAAAGTCTCTGGTCCCTGGTTCAGTTTCTGCTGCATGCACAACTGTCATTGGTAATAATATGGGATCTTCTGGGATGGTATTTGTGCAGCCAGCTGCTTGTTTATTTGTGGACACTGATTAAACTACTTATGAAGAATTAACATAATGCATATCTTTAAATAAGATATATTTTGGAGAAGTGTCAGGGTGTTTTCACAGGCATTAGTTATTCACGTATGCTCTTTTTTCACCTTCTAGATTTCAGGTTGGTCCTTTCAAGTATCAGTTGCAGTCAGGGATTCCTGTGTGCACTGGGAGAGGGAGTACAGGAATAGTATTTCTTCCACATTGGCAAGGACAGTCTGGAAGAATGTCCCTCCTACTCCTTGTAGGAACCAGTTTTGAAGCAAATAACCTCTTGGGTTTTTGTTGTTATTTTTGTTGAGTTGGTTTGTCTTTTTTTTCCTAAAGTGGTAATGAAAAATTTCCTTTTCCACTGCTAGGCATACAGAGTAGTCCTCCAGTTTATCCACAGTTCCAAGAAAGAGAAGCAATTCAGTGATCCCCTAGAGAAGTTGTGGATGCTGCATCCCTAGAAGTGTTCCAGGCCAGGCTGGATGGGGCTCTGAGCAACCCGGGATAGTGGAAGATGTCCCTGCCCATCATCTTTAAGGTCCCTTCCAACCCAAACCATTCTGTGATTCTTCATAAAGTTAAGCAACAAGAGGCAATAATGAGAGAAGTTGGTGTCTGAATTATGCCCTTAATTTTTCAACAGAAAGTTATTTAGGATCTTAAGTGACACTGAACAGGGATTATTTAAAGCTTATTTTGTCTTTTTTTTTCCTCTGTTAACAGAAAAAAAGATGACAGAACCCCAAAACCTGAATCCAGCAAAGCGGTACCGGAGGCAAGACTGGCCTGGGGAGCTCTATGAAAATGGCTCATTTTATTTTGCCAAGAGACATCTGATTGAGAAAGGCTATTTGCAGGTCAGTGCTTTTGGTTTTTCATGCTCTTTAGAATAATACATCTACTCTTGCTGTATAGGGCTCTGAATTCAATACTCTGTTTTGATTTCTGATGCAGTCAGTGTGAAATAACAGCACTCTGACCTCAGAACAGTCTGCTAATTATTTGTAACTTAGCAGGGCTAGTTGTAGCTAAAACAGTTCCAGTAACAGCATCCTCCATAGCAAATAAATTTATGCAAATAAATGTATTATATACCTATAACCCTAAACCAATACAATACTGAATTGAGTTTTGCATGAGTTCACCAGTGTATCCTAATTAACCTTCCTGCCACTAAGGGTGTGAAACTGAGCTTCATGCAGTGTCAGAGCCTTGTCATAATCTGTAAATTTGTATTTTCAGCCAGTTTAATCTTATGCCAATTTTTTACTGTAACAGTCTTTTTCCCTTTCCCAATCTGTTTACATCCCAATGTAATGATACAGAACGACACTGGGGTGTGATGGATATTTTCTCATTGGAAATTAAGTAACAGTAAGCAAATAATAATCATAGTCTTCCTAAGCAAATCCTGAAGGTATTACTGTTTGCCTGATTAAAAGATCTAGTGGAATTAGTGTGATGTAATTGCTATAATGGATAACATCTTGCACACTTTTCTCTAGTTGTAAAATGGAAATAGTTATTAACCCTGCAGAAGGTTCCTTCAAATGGTTCTGTGTAACTGGCAAAAACGTAATTGATGGTTCACTTTCATATAAGCCATGGTGGCCACTGTGTAACCAGGCACCTGGCTTTCATTGCATGGTGCTAAATCATAGTTTTGTGTTTGTGTTGACCCAAGCAGAAATTTTGCATGGGTTTTATTTCCTTCAGGGTGGTAAAATGGCCTATTACGAAATGCGTGCAGAGCACAGTGTGGATATTGATATAGACATTGATTGGCCTATTGCAGAGCAGAGAGTGTTGAGGTAAAAGCTCTTTTTATTCCCTTATTTCTTTGATGCATAATGTATGGAATTCATGATGTATGGAATGTAAGCAATGGAGATCATAGAGAATTGGGTGGTTTTATTTCTGTGCAGCATTTTTTCCTATCTCTGTTGAAATCAACCACATTACCTTTGTTACATGGTGGATTTTGATATTTTTTTTTTTCCTTAAAGTTCAGTTTGGTGAAGAGTGTAAGCCCCACTATACCTCAACAGTGAGATGTTAGCATCATCTCTGGCTTTCCCAGCTGAGGTGCCCCAGATATCCATGTTCCTGACCACTGTAACTGATGCCCAGGAATGGGAGTGTTTGTGTAGAGGGCATGAGCTGATTCCACCTCACCAGCTGCCTTTTCTTTGCAGCTGCTCTAAGGAAATAATGGTTGAGAATGGAGTATATTTTCTGTGTCTTTTTCATCCTAATTTTTAAATTGATGACTTAAATGAGCTATCTTTTGGATGGTTCTATTCCTTTCTTTGAAGAGGAACAGTGTAGCTGGAGAATGATGATGATGAGAAAAAACATTGGAAAAGAATTTCGAAGCTGACCCTTCTGTCTGAAGGTTACAGCTGTATGGGAAATATTTGGGGTTTTGGAGTGTGCAAAACCTTCCATCCTAAAAAGATAATTTCTTTGTCTAGCTTTGGATATTTTGGCAAAGAGCCACTAAAAGAGGTGAAGCTCTTGGTTTGCAGTATTGATGGATGCCTGACCGATGGTCGCATTTATGTGACAGAAGATCACAAGGAAATGGTCTCCTACGATTACAGAGATACTGTTGGCATTGATCTGTTAAAGAAAAGAGGAATCCAGGTAAGTGCTGTTCTGAAGAACATGTAGGCTCTTTACATGTCTCATGTAACCTGCACATGAAAAGATTCTAAAAAATTATATTCTTGCAGCATAGAAGTCAAGGTTTTTTCACAGTACTTGTGATCAAGCAGCATAATATATTGGTTGGGACAAATGTTATCCCCAGAACCCTCAGAGGAAAATAAGCGTTTTGAGAAAGTTCTCAATCACAGTAATTCCAGCTCTTTCTCCATTTCACTGAATCATGCCTGGGCTGAACCTTAAAAATTATCTTGTTTTAATCCCTCTGCCAGAGCAGGGACACCTTCTGCTATCCCAGGTTGCTCAGAGCCCCATCCAGTCTGGCCTTGATCACTTCCAGGGATGAGGCATCCACAGCTTATCTGGGCAACCTGTGCCAGGGTCTCCCCACCCACCCTCCCCAGCAAAGAATTTCTTCCTCATACCTCCTTTCTGCCAGTGTGAAGCTATTCCCCCTTGTTCTGTCACTTCAGGCCCTTATAAAGTATCTCTCTCCATCTTTCCTGTGGGCTCCCTTCAGGCACTGGAAGGCTGCATTTAGGTCACCCCAGAGCCCACTCCTGTGGAATCAAGTAGATGTTTTTTCAGCAGTCCCTCAGCTTCATTTTCTGGGAAGCCAGAGGGTTAGGAAGCTTGTAATCACTGTTTTGTTACCTGTAGGAGCCCATTTCCATACCTTCTTTGACTTGGAATGTTTCATTAAAAGCCTCTAGGTCTTTGTGCTGCACTTTATTTCTAGTATATGTTGCTGATACAATCATGCCTTGTGCTCCACTTCTCTTCCTTCTGTACTTAAAATCAGTGCCAAGCATTTGTTTGTATTTAAAAGCAATTAGGGAAGATAAGCTTGTCTACATCTTTGACAGAAAACCTGAAGGATTTGCATCTGAGATTTCTAAAAACCCTGCTGCAATTATCTTCTGGTTTTAGCTTACCTTGTGCATAATTCCTGAAACTTCATACTTGGAATTAACTTCCAGAGATAAATGTGCTGTGCTGCTTCAGTCTGTGTAGTGTTGGTTTGATGCTCTAAAATGCTGCTATAAATAAAATTACGGTATTAAATAGAGGGGCAAGGAAAAAACTTCATGTTCTGCTTTGCCAAATATTTCAGAAATCTTTCTTGGGAATTTTCTCATTCCACCCTGTAACTTACTAAGAACATACTGCACTAGACAGTCCATATGCCACCATACTGTGATATTTAGTGCATGTTGCATTTCAAAAGAAAAATGTAAATTGTTTTTGAACATCAGGGAGGGCTGCAGAAAGGCATTTCACTTTCCTAAAGAAACCTCAAGACTGTTTGGTTTTGGATGCTAATCACTTCTGCTCTGAGTTCTGAAAATCAATCATTCAATGCTTTTCTGGTACCTGAGAGAGGTTCTACAAGCAAAACTGCTTTATTTTGTAACAGTAAATCAACTTATATCTCTTTGTATTTCTTCAGATGTAGAACTTACTCTTAATTTTATTTCAATAGGTTCGACTCATCTCTGACAGAGACTGCTCAAAAACACTGTCAGCCATGCAGCTGGGATGTGTAGCAAAAGTCAATGTAACAAATAAACTGCAGGTTCTGAAGGATTGGCAGGAAGACATGGGCTTGAGCTGGAAAGAGGTGGCTTACTTAGGTAAGTTCCTTTTCTTTTGGTTTATTTAATTTAAATAGTATAGACAAATAGAATTTTTGTACTACTGCTGAGATTAAAACCACTTTTCTCTTTGTAAATACACCAAATTTGATGGGATTGCTGTGCACATTGCAGCACACAGTCATCAAAAGTAGGTATTTTTAGGCCTGTTAGGGTACAATCTAAATGTTACAGACATTGATGAATCTGTGTAATTTGGTAAGGGAAGTCTTCACTGGTTTTCCAGTGGGATATAGAAAAGCTTTTGTTTTTAGGAAACATTTTGATTTCAAAATGTTGATAAGCATATACTTAGAGCTGACAATTTTGAACTGATTCTAGTTCATTTCAGAGGGATATTGTATAGATTACGTTCTAGATGGTAATCAGAAATGGACAGAATTAGAACTGAAAGCCGTGCGGTTCTGTGCTAAACTGTATTTCAGTGACAGGTTAAGTGCAGAGTCCTGCCAATGCTTATTCAGCTGCTGACATAATTTTACTGCTCTTAGAAGCACTGTTCTCTTGCCTAAAGATTGTGAAGTGTGATCAGCATTTATATGGATCACCAAAATTTTCCAACAACTGACATGCACGTGCAAAGTGCTGTTGAGCTTCTGAGATGAACATTGTGACAAAAAAAACACAAAAAACAAATTTCAAAAATCAGATCAATGCTTTCACAGAAAAACACTGAGAAAAATACTGATTATTTCCCTTCTGTGACATTTGGCCTTGCCTGTCATCTTTCTCCCTAGGAAATGAGGAGTCAGAGGTGGAGTGCCTGAAGCAGGCAGGCATGAGTGGTGTGCCTGCTGATGCCTGTGCTGCGGCGCAGAAGGCTGCTGGTTACATCTGTAAGAGCAGAGGTGGCTGTGGAGCTGTGCGGGAGTTTGCAGAACACATATTCCTGCTCTTAGAGAAAGTGAACTCTGCAAGGAAGCAACTGGAAGAAATCAGCTCAGCAGGGAAGGAAATGGGAAGAAATGAAAACAGCAGGAAAGGAAATAAGGAACTGATGGAAAAGGAGTAATGCCATTGGTCAATCCTGCTTTTCTTCCTCATTGCATCCATATCCCAAAGGAATGCTTACCTTTCAAACTTTACAGCACAGTAGAGTAAAAAAGGTGTCTCCCTCTAATTCCAGGTCTCACATTCATGATTATATGCTGAAAATACGATCATCTCCATGATGATTTTAAAAGCCATTGAAGTGCAATGGGAGGAATGCTACAAAAGAGAGTTCCCTGGAAATCTACTCTTAATCATCACACCTGTCCTGCAGGAACGATGCATCTTTATTTCATAATCTGAATGTTTTCAGGGATCAATGATTTTGCATGACTTGAAGATTTGTAATTCAGGCTTAGAAAAACCAAAACTTCTGTCAGTTTTGCTCATGTGGTTTGCATTTCTTTTATGAAATGCATGGTGTTGTGGTTGTGGGATTACATTTTACAGGCTTTGTCCTTAGCAAGGAAGAGTTTTAACATATGCTGGAGATGTCAGGTTTAAAATACTATCAATAAAACTTCCTTCCCTATTTTTAAAATACAACACAATTACTGTAAAACAATTTAATATTTGTTTAAAAAAGCACTTTAGCATGTGTTCAGTTTTGAGCTTATAAATAATTAAATCACATTTGGAATTGTGCCTCTTGGAATCTGTTTATTTTGGGTTTTATTGAAGTGCCTAACTTAATATTTTGCCAAATTTGGAGTTAAATTTCCTGTTGTCTTTGAGATCTTTGCAGAAACTCAGTTTCTTTCTATGAAGACTTTATTGCAACATCAAGTGAATTAAAGCCAAATTAAAGTCTTTATGTTTATTGTATGAAAAGTAGCTGCTGTTTAAAAAAAAAAAGGAAACACCAAACCATGGTTGATGTGGGTTTATATAAAATATATAAACAGAGTACTTTTAGCATGTTAAAGCTCACATGCTTGTATTTATTGAAAATAGGATTTGTATTGTACATTACAAATACAATAATATGTATCAGAGTCAAATTCTGGTTTGGGGTATGCTAAAAAATACAAATACCTATGGTACACAGGCAATTACAAGTTACATAAATGATAATTGCTTGTTATTTTATTTTGCTTCTCTGCTAAATATTGTATTGTGTAAATAGTTATACTCCCAGTATATCACCTGATACATTGACCTCAGATAAACTTTGTATTTACTTCCTTTCACAAAGCAAAATGTTGAACTGAAATTATTTACTGCCTATCTACAGTTTACTGTACTAATCAGCTCTAAGTCACCTAAATTTAAGTGTCTCCTTTCAGTCACGCCATAGGGTTCCTGTGCTGGATAAATCCCATGGACTTTGATGAGAGGAGAGCTGCATTTTGGACATCAGTGTTTTCACTTCGATGGATTCTTGTTTAGGAGAACATGGTATAATCTTACATTGGGAAGAATATGAAGGATAAAAGCTCTAGAGACTGTTTACCAAAAAAGATACAGGATATGCAGGATCTGCTGCCTAAAAGGTTCAGATTTGTATTGCCCACATTGTAGTGGAAAGCCTAATTACAGAGTAGGAAGAGGGATGCCTTAATTACTCCTCTTGATTTTATAGAAGAGCCTCAATCATATGAAGGATTTAGGGGTCAGAGAGGCAGAGACAGTGAGGGTAAGTCTGTCACTTTAGAGGTGAAATCCTAAGTCACAGGAAAGGTTCAAATATGTAGAATATTTTTCCAAGGCCTGCTCCAGTACATGTGACACCACAACTGCCTTTGATTAGAGGGGCATTACTCATTCAGAGTATCTTTCAGTGGTCACTTTTGTAATTCTAAGCTAATTTTGAGACCATATTTTGGCCATGTGAGTGCTTGGTTTTTTTGCTTTAATTAACCTAAAGTATTCTAAAGAAGATCTTAGGTAATGTGGGCTGTTCAGTCATGATTATGTGAAAAGGAAAAAAAAAGGAACTTATGTAAATATTTGTAATAATCTATTACAAAAAATAGCTGATTACCTCAAATTTTATTTTAAATAAACAGATTTATCTAGTCTTTTAAGCAGAGAATGGTTATGGGCTGGCTTGTGCTGAATTTCTGCACTGCAAATCATACACTCCCAAGTTCATGTGCCACACAAACGATTTATGATGGCAAAGGTGGACAGATTTAATGCCCAAATTAATCACATGCACACCTTCACCTACTTCTGACTCCATTTATTTATTTTTATCTGCTCTTTCTTCTATTCAGTTTATCTTCCTCTCCAGCTCCTGTTAGGTAATGCAACAAGTTCTGGCCTTAAGTCCTTTCAAATCAATATGAATCACATATATCTCACCCTTTTGAAGTCATCATATGTTTTAATACTTGCAGATTTCAAGTTTTTAAGACTTTGAAACCTTTTAACTTTTAAACACATTTTAGCTAACTATTTTTTCCAGAGCCTGGGGGGGGAAAGGTTTTTTGTTTTAATTATATTTTTTTTTCTGTTAGTGTGGTATTAAAACACTATTTACTGTTTCCAGAAATAAGTCTACATGAGTCTAGTTCCAGCCAGCAGGACCAATCTTCCTAACTGTTACCATTACAAGAGCAGTAATGCTGTCCAGAAGAAAAAACACCATTATGTGTGAACCTGATGCATAAATGGGTTAGAAAAACTTATCAGTAATACAGTTGTCCGAAAAAAATCTTTGGATGGTGGGTTTGTTTCATTCTGAGACAGGTTGGTCTATCCCCATGTCTGATACTAGATATGTTTATGGATGTGGCTCTGGTTTAATAGAGTAACCCCCCTGCTCTGGGGGAGGCATGAAAGCAAATGAGCAGTGAGCAGTGTGAAGGTAATGATAACGAATTATTCAATTTAGTAAATAGAGGGACTGGTGAAACTGAGAAGATACATATAAAATAAGCTGGACTTAACTGAAAAACAATCCTAATTAAAATACCCATTTTCACGGAGCAGTTATAACTCAGATAAGTATCTAGTGGTTTGGAGTGTGTGCTAGCAGTTGAAAAAGGAATTATTAGAAAAAGAACAAATAGCAAATAGGATAAAAAGAATTAATCCACTATAATGCAGTGGTTTGTATATGTCTTGAATACTGCATGTTTTGTTTGTGTTGAAAAGTCTGTAGCATTCCAAAGGTTTTTGGGAGGATAAAATGGATGAAGAAAGGAATCAGGTTCAGTGGCAGCAGTAGCCAATTCAGAATTCTTCACTTTGGAGGAAGGATTCTTCACTTTGGACTGAAGGGAGTTGTATTAAAATATGTGTAAAATTAAGGACAGGAAGCCGTGGAAAGGCCACTGAAGACTCTAGCAGTGAGCAAAATCAGGTGCCTGAGGAATATAAATTTACCATGTTGTATTTGGTGGTGCTTTCCAGTTTTTCTATGGCCTCAGCACATTTGCAGCTCATGGATTTCCAAGGTTGGACATAGGTTACAGTCATTTAATGAACCTCAGAACACTTAAAAAAGGCCTTGGCCACATGTTTCATGAGTCTGACACTTGATACAGTTCTGGTTCTGAACCTTGGAGTCTTCCTCCTATTTCATGTGTAGGAAATACCCAACTGCATTTTATCTTTATTTCGCAATGTGTGTTAGTGGTTCATTCCATGTCAATGTGTAGCTCTGACACAGTGAGCAGCAGGACATGGCATAACTATTATCAATAGGACAAATGTAATGTTGGAAAATTAATGAAAATAGGGCAAAAGTACACACAGAATTATGTACATTGGATTAGGAACATCAGATGAATCAGTGGTCATTATTAGTAATAGGCAGTAGTCTGACTACTACCTATACATTTATAATATATATAGATACTATATACTACTATCTATATATCTTCTATCATTAGTAGTCAGAGATCCTCACAGTAAATTGTTGTAAAAGTTTTTGGCCAAAATGTACTCAGAGGTTTGAAGAACATTCTGGAAAGTACCACATTTTTCCTGATTGTTTGCATGCTTTGCAGATAAGTTTCTGGCCTAAATTGGAATGTATCTGGACTAGTTATGGCTACTCTTGTATTAAACAAGGAGATAGTCTTTTCAGGGATGTCACTTTTAACTGAGGATAGAGTTGCACACCTGTTTATGGATGTAGGAATTCATACAAAATCCATGTAGGATTTTGTTTTTACTGTCCCAACTTTTTTTTCATGTTTACATTTTGTCCACAGCAGTTCAGTCTCAAGTTGGGAGGGGATCTGTCACCATTCACCGATTCTTCTGAGCAGTGAGGCCCAGTGGAAGTTTTTCTATTCATCAGGAAAAGGTAATAGAATAACAGTCCATAAAAGCTTGAAAAGGGATGAAGTACCTCAGAATCACAGAATAAGCTGAGTTTAAAGGGATCCATCAGGATCAGTCCACCTCTTGGCCCTGCACAGACATGCCAACAATCCCACCCTGTGCATCCCTGAGAGTGTTGTCCAAAAGCTCTTGGAGCTCTGGCAGTCTTGGGGCCGTGACCATTCCCTGGGGAGCCTGTTCAGTGCCCCAGCACCCTCAGGGGGAAGAACCTTTTCCTGATATCCACGCTAACCCTCCCCTGACAGCTCCAGCCGCTCCCTGGGTCCTGACCCTGGTCACAAAGAGCAGAGATCAGGGCCTGTCCCTCCTCTTTCCCTCATGAGGAAGTTGCAGAACTGCTGTGAGCTCTGACCTCAGTCTGCTCTTCTCCAGCCAAACACACCAAGTGCCCTCAGCCACTCCTCATTCCCCTCACACCCAATTTAGAGAAATATAAAACACTCCCATTCATTTCACTTAATGAACTTATAAGTTTTCCTGAATATATTTATTATGATCTACCTTTGGATCAATTCCATTCTCTGAATGCTGCCTCTTAAAGGACCTGGGGCAGTAGTTGTGGTAACTCACAAAGAGGCCCTAGTCCTGACTCACCACATCAGTATATCAACACTTTGAGCACTTTGTTCAAAGAAAGCACACGTTTGAGTTATTATGGAAGTCAAGAGGTTTCAGGGGATTTGGGGGTAAAGTTGCAGGCAGTGCATGGCAATGTGGAGAGCAAATTGGACCTGTGCCTTGCAGTGCCTCTACTGCTGCTCCTGCTGAGGAGCAAGGGAACTCAAGCCTAAGGCTGCTGCAATTAGACTGCTGTCATTGGTGTCAGAGCTTGGATAGCACAGAGACACATGGCCTAGCTCTGTTTCATTCACCTGCTAATTAAGTCCTGCTAAACCTTCTTTTGTGTTAATTTTAATTTAGGTAAATCCTCAATTTAGCCAGTAGGCAATGCTGTAAACTAATTAATTCCACATCCCCTGAAGTAGCTCAGGAGCTAACTTTACTTTGAGCAGCACAGTGTTACCTCCCTGGCTGATGGGTAGGTTTGAGCTGTTTACCAACCCTACCTTGATGCACAAGACAAGTCCTCATTCTGTCCCTTCACACACAGTTCCATGTTGTGAATGTGATGTTGACATTAACGATACTTTTTGCATGTGCATACATTGTGTCGTGCAAATGCTGCTTACAGCAGTCTTAGTGCTGCTAAACTCGCTTGCAAACCTCACTTCCCCAAGGACCCTCTGGCTTTTTTCACATACTCAAAGGGCCAGAAAAAAATAAGTCTCTAAGTGAAATGTTCAATTATTTTTATTAGCTGATCTCTCTTGCCACTTATTAATAGTGGAAGAACAACACCTGAAAGGAGGGCAACAGTGGCATTTTGGGGGAAGAGTGACTGATTTTAATGTCAGAAGAGCAAAGTAACACATCAAATGGTTCTTTGCATAGAGCAGGGCATCATTTCCCTCAGACTGTTTTGAATTGGTAAATGGCAAAGGACTGCACACAGGCTTTTCTCCTGCTCTCCTCAGCACCATAACTTCGTGTCTTTGTGTAGGTGCAAAATCAGCAGGTTTTTATTTATATATTTTTATTTTATTTTTATTTAATTAGCTAGATGCTAGCTTGCACAGAGCAGGTATGAAATGAAAGGGCTGCCTGGCAATTGTGAAGTCTGTGGCTAGAGGGAGATTAGTGTTGATGAAACAAGGCTGTACCTCAGGAGCAACACAGAAACAAACACAGGACACGTGTTCTGCCTTGGAACTGTGTTGGGTAGAAGAGTCCCTGGGATGTGGGCACAGACAACTGATTCTTGGAAAATCTGTTTTATCAGGGCAGAGTAAATAAAGAAGTGCTGTTTGAATTAAGCTCTCTGTGATAGTCTAGCATTTAGGAAAAAAAGTGGGAAACATCCACAGAAGTGATTTATCTGAGAGAGGCTGCTGGGAGTTTCTTCTCTGCTTGAGATCAGGCCAATAGCTGGCCATTTCTGAGAACTGACAGCATTTTGGACCACTGAAAAGTGAGATCACTTTGTGAATACCAGTTTTCAAACCCGAAACCCAGGAACTTTGCGCCTTTTTCTTTCCGGCCTTGAAAGGTAACAGAGCTCTGGTGTGGCTGGCCCGCTCCCCTGCGGCCTATGCAGCCTGGGAAGGAGGGGGGCTGGGCCAGAGCCCAGCAGCTCTCGAGCAGGGGATGGAGACTGTGGGGTGTCAGGAGCCCCTTTCCAGACGGGCTGAGCCCCCTCGGGAAGCCTGCTGAACCCTGTACAGTGGCGCTGCCAGGCTAGGCCAGCCCCTGGCTCAGCTGAAATTCTGCCACTGCTGGGTTTCACCAGAAACTGCCAGGTAGGGGGAGGGGAAGCTGTCGGCCCACAGCGTGCTGCCTCTGAGTGCTAGCATGGCTGCTGAGATGCTCGCCACCCTCCCCTAGCACAGCCACTGAAAAATCCTCCATCACAAACAGCCCCAGCCACTGCCCCAGCAGAGATCACATGAGCATCTACAATATCTGGGCAAGATTTAACCTTTTCACTACCCAGATGAGACCTGCAGACTTAATTCCCTCTACAGAGAGAGGCAAGTGAGAGTGATCAACATGTAAAGAGACAACGTGAAACATCAGGGTCAGTAAAGGAAGGAGTCAGCCTCAGATAGAAGGAGAATGAGGAGATGCTTTAATAAGCTGAAATACTCTTTTGGGAAGGCCATGGAGATGGACAATAATGTTTTGAATGACTCCTTTAATTCATGAAAGAATACTGGGGGGAATGAGCTATTCAAACTGTGAATCTGAGCAAAGGTATCCGTTGATGAAGCTAAGCAGACAGTGGAGTAGCTGTAATCCCATGAGATGCTGGAACAGAGATTGAGAAGTGAGAGTTGATGAAGACCCTTTGCCCCGAGGGAGAAAAGGAGAAAACCTCTGTTCCCAGAGATGATCGTAGAAACAAATGAAGAGAACCTTTGCCTTTGAATAACTCATCCTTAAAATAATACTCCTTGAACATGGCCCATGAACACACCTTAGAGTGATGTGAAAATGGAAGGAAAACATGATGGCAGAGTTTCTTCTGGGCGGCTGTCAGACATGGAAATGAAAAGCCACAGGAAACTGTTTTTCTTGTGGAGAACTCTCCATGGAATGACAAGAGAAAACTCCTCTCCCATAGAGACTGATGAAAAGACTATTGTATAATTGGTACTGCTTTAAGATCCCAGGTTTTGTCTCTATGGTGTCAGTTGGGAAAGGAAAAGGTTGGGGGGGCAAGGGGAGAAAAGGTTTCTGGAAGTTTTATTCTGGTTTCTTATGCTTGTAGTTCTGTTAATAAACTTTCTTTGTTCCTTTTAAGTTTTGAGCCTGTTTTGCCCTTCTCCTAATCCATATCTCATAGCAAGAAATGAGTAAGTACCCTGGTGATTCTAGGTAGAGCTAAAACCACCACATTGTCTCTGCATTGTGGATTGGTTCTGTTGCTCAAGACGCAAGAAGTAAAATAGTTCTCACCAAAACAAGCATTTTGCACAAAGAAAATCAAATGGAAATGAACGCATTTACGGTTGCTCAGTGTGTGGTGCTGAAATTTATTTGGATTTGTATCAGTTGCATTTAAAACACAAAGACTCTATGGTACCTAATCCAGAAATAAGTTACATCAAAGAACTATATACTGTTGGAAAAAAAAAAAGAAAATTAAAAAAAGAAACATTTTTGTAAACAGACTTCAGATCTTCAAATGTAGTTTTCAACTTAATTACCAAGAACAATGTCCAGTAAGATAGGCACTCCCAAATCATGGTGTATCACAGAAGGAGCAAGTCTGGAGTCAAATTTTTGGTTGTTTTCTTATGATGTGTTTTTAGATTTCTTATATATTCAGTTTCTTGCAAGTTTGTTTTTGTTTTTCTCTTCTCTTTTCTCTTTTCTATTATCTTGGGTAAAATTTCTAATTCAGGTTTACAAAGTCTGTTCATATCCCCTTGGAGCAAAGAAAATAAATAAATTATGAAGTAGATTTCGCTGTCAAACAATGGGTCTGACACCTGACTCTGTGAAGCCATGTACACCTTGCCCTCTGAGAACTAAATTCAGCTCTCTGACACAGGCACTGTGTCAGAACTTTCCTGTTTTCAAAAACCCCATGTTTACAAACCTTCCAGTTGGAAACATAAACTGATGGGAGCACCCATTCAGAATTTGCCACCAATTGGTTGGTGCATGTTTGTTGATAACTAGATATTATTCTTCATGTGGACTCAGAATTCATAGATGAAACTGTCTGCCATCTTGCTGAGTTTCATTTTCTCATTAAATATCTCCTGAAACCTAATATTCTGCTTTGGAGTGAAGTAGTTCTTCCAATCACCAACAGCACCTAGGAAAGCAGGAACAGAAAGAACAGTGAAGTGAGCAATATGTGGAGCAGAAAATTGTTTATAAACCAGCCTGATTTTGTTAATGCTGCAGTTGATGCAGATTATTAATATATTCTTAACCATAGTCACTGTGGTGGGTCAGGATCAGAATTGTTCTAGTGAGACTGGTGGAAGGCGCTGAATCATCACCATAAAGGCTGATGAACCCACATCCTCAGAGTTGATTAGTGCCAGCAACACAAGTGGTGGAGGAAGAAAAGCAGCTTTCCAAGGTGGAGTTACAGCTCCCAGTTATCTGGGCAGAGGGACATCTTGCCATGCCTTAGTGTACTGTAGTTAAAAGTCTCTGCCTGGGTTTTCTCACAGTCAATAGAGGAAATTATAGAATCATAGACTGGTTTGGGTTGGAAAGGACCTTAAATATCATCCAGTTCAACACCCCCCTGCCAGAGCAGGATCACCTTCCACTATCCCAGGTTGCCCAGAGCCCCATCCAACCTGGCCTTGAATGCTGCCAGGGATGGGGCAGCAACAGCTGCTCTGAACAACCTGTGACAGGACCTCAGCACCCTCACAGGAAGCAATTTCTTCCTTATATCCAATCTAAACCCACTTTCTGTCAGTGTGAAGCCATTCCCCCTTGTCCTGTCACCCAAAAAAGTTTCTCTACTACATGGTCTTGTAAATAGTCTAAAAAAATCATAGATTCATGAAACAGTTTGGGTGGGAAGGGACCTTTACAGGTAACTGTAGTCACCATCTAAACTTATTAAATGAGTGGTAGCCCAAAAGCCACTGGCAAAAGATTGCTAAAAAAGGAGCCCAGAATGGCCTGACAAATTAAAACCCACCTCACCCCTGCTTCTAATCTCTAGAATTTTTTATGGATGAGATGTCCAGCTATGTAAGTGGGCAGTTATATACTTTGAGGTGGCCATGGACACTGCTGATCAGAAAAGTGTTTCAACTGTTACCCAGTTTAAGCAAAAAGGAAATGGTTCTTTAAACCAATACATTTTTATGAGACAATGCTTATAGTCTCCACCCATGAGCATGCTCTAAAGACCCTGCATCCCAAACCTGACTAAAGTAGTCATCCCATTTTCTGACTAAAATAGTATTCAGTCACAAAGGACAGGAAAAGGGAGCCTGAAGCATTAAATATATAAAAATCTTCTGTAAACTGGCTGAAACTAGCTAAACATCTGGGATTTGTATAGGAACTACATAGAAGTGAAAATGTTGGGATTTTTCCAAATTCATCATATCTTTGTCAAAGTTCACTGACTTAGAAAAAATCATCTTGTTTATATGTTTCTTTTTTATGGACAGATTATATGTTGCCATTTGTTTCTGCTGACTTATAAAACCATCATGAATTAATGGAAGGTAGCATTTCTCTGTTTATTAACTGAAACAATTCTTAGTTTTAAACCCTCAATTGTTGTTCGAAAATTAACTGAATCAAAATAATCAAAATCTGTGTAAAAACAGTGGGTTTGATTTACTTGTTATCCAGTAACTTGTAAACCAGTGGATGCTTCTGAAATGCCAGGAGCAAAAAAAACAGCTCCTGAGGGTATTTCAAAATCACATCTGAGCTGAGAACTGTAGAAAATTTTCCAAGGTCTGGAAGTTACCTATGACCATTCTTTTGTTGTTGTCAGCATATTCCTTCCTCAAGAATATTTCAGTAAGATAAGGGGTGATAAGAGCAATCTCATTCAGAAGGAATGTGTCTGGCTCTTTCATATTCTATTCAACTAAGTGACCTTGGCAGGTGATACCAGAGAGACATGTTCACGTAAAAACTTCATGTAAAACACTGAAGTGGTCAACTTTCAGATAAAAGACAGATACAGAGTAATGGTGGGTGAACCTTTCCTTTTGGCTCAACAGCTCTCACAGAGCAATAGTCAGGCTGTAGTTCAGACTCGTCTGTGCTTCTCTAGTACAAGTCTGAATTTGCAGCCAGAGAAGTTAGGAAAAAATCTTTAAGAAGGCTTCAGATCAAAGAATCTTGTCATCACTTCCCAGGGCTGACTGAAAGGCTCCAGAAAAGACCTGCACTCTGGTCTTTGTTTAGATTCCCACTCTTTCTTCTGTATGAGGCATAAAGGAATTTACCTTTTCGGAAAATCAGTTTCCTGTTGGATGTCAGAGCACACACGGTGTGGCTGGGATCACTGTTCTCCTTTTCTGTGTCATTCTTCATCTCTGAGAATGAGGACTTCTTGCAGATGTCTTGGATATCATTGTCACTGACGCTTAAACTCAGGAACAAAGTAATTTTCTTTACAACCTTAGGGAGATCCTGAAGTATAAGAAAAATACAGCTTTTATGTTTCTGGGCTGATTATCAGACTTTTAACTGATTTGAAAATGATCCTTTTTATTACATAATGAGTTTGTCACACATTTATTTGCTTTCAAGCAAAGCTAAATATGTCATTAGATTGTGCAGATGACAGGTACAGTAAACCTGATTCTCCTCGTAGCCATACTCACAGAAATTAGTAAGTACAGAGTATGTCATATCACACACAGTCACATTGTCAATGTTTTACCTCCCAGTTCAGATAAAATGTGTTCTCTCAGAATTACTTCCCTGGAAATAAAGGAATTCTCAAAGCCTACTCCAAGTAGCTTATTTCATTGGACGTGCTATATCTAGAGATCTGACAAGTGACTTGGCATCCCAAATGGTTTGTTTATATTCCTAATAGTTGGATTATTTTTTCCCCAAAAAATGAACAAATCTATTTTCATGGAGACACTAGAAAGTATTTTCTATTCACCTAAAAATTCCATTCTCTGAAAGCTAAGGTATGTTGATATTTTACTTTTTCCTTTTTAAGACTAGAGAAGTTTTCCCTACCCCTCCAGCCTCTAATTTTCTTTATTATTTGGAACACAAGTCCCAAATGTGATTAGTTCTGTTGTCTTACATCACGTTTTGAAAATTTCACCTGAAATATCAGACATAGCAAATTAACGTGTGGTCCTCAATAGATGTCTTTGGTTGGTCTTTCCACACGACAAAAAAAAAGAACCTTAAATTCTGCCTGAGCCTGTGGAAAATTGTCTGAGTCCAATTTTGCATCTAAGGAATGTGACTCTCACAAGATTTGATATTTATGTAACTTGTATAGTCAGAATTATTTACTTAATACAAAATTCCATACACATGAAAACTACGCCCTAAGATACATATTCACATTTTCCTTCCTTCTCCCTTTTCATTTTAACTTTCTCTTTGATATTTTAATGATGCTAATTTACAAGTAATGCCTTCTGCACCAAGAACAGAGAGTATATTTACCTTCTTCATGTCTTCGTAGAACAAAAAGAGGATGTTTTTTTCGTCTTTATGTTCTTCCCAGCTTAGAAAATGATCAAACCAGGATCCACAAACAACTGAAAGGAAAACGCATGTAAAATATATCCAGATAAACTTTATTCTGAAATAGCTGTAATGCTACCTCACACATTTAGGGGAATGATCCCTTCATAAAATGCATCCCATATTCCTCTAAAACAGAGGCAGCTCTTTGTATCAAGCGTCACAAATTCACAAAAGTAACTTCTAAAGAGGTTCCGTTCTTGATGGAATTTGTTTTCCTACCAGATACTATTCTGCCATATGATTCTGCAGTGGAAGCAGGCTATTGATCTAAGGAAAGGCCAATAATGAAGTAAAATGTAGCGGCCTAACAAGATCTGAACATTTCACAGATGACTGACTGCATGTCTGTGCTTGCAGAGATATGATCACCTCAGCAGAAGATGAACAGTCTGGTAAATGGAGCATACTGTTTTTACCTCTTTCATCCCAGCAGAAGGGAAGCTGTATAATCTTTAAACACTGAAGAAGAATTACTTAAAGAACTCATGCAGATGCCTCATCCAGCCAGTGACACAGATAAAGGGTTTGTAGCTGACTTGTTTTGTCTGAATACCCCATTTGGTGAACCATGGGAACACAGCTAAATTTCAGCTTTCTTTTAAAAACCAAAATTCTGACCTCTCCCTTTCAAAGGCAAGATGAAAACCTCTTGCAGGGCAATGAAAAGAGGCTTGAGCAAAGAAAGCTTAACCAGCATTCCCCAGAACTATGACTTTGCTTTATAATCACCACCACCAGAAAATTCTAATCTTGTAATGGGCATAATTTTAATCACAAACTGTGAGTTGTAATTAAGTATAAATTATAATTAATAGCTATAAATAAGCTGAATGCTCCAGTCTGTATCCCTCTCCAGCACATGAAGCAGTTTCTAAGTGCAAGGCATGTGTGCTCCACAGTGTGCAATTAAACCGTGCTCTGCTGGCCAGGTACTCTGGGGATGAGGCCAGTGATAGCACAGTTCTGGTGGCTTCAGGAGAGTCTTGGAGACTCCCGAGAATTCATTACAGTTGTCCCCGTGTGTCCTAACCCTTATTTTGAACTGATATTAACTCTGCAAGAGTACTGCAGGATTTGGATCAAGCAGCACAACCTTGAAATGCTTCTACTAGGAGCAAAAATTACCACCTTTCCCTCCACATCATCTCTTACCTAAATTTCTCTTGTAACCAACATAGTTATCTATCTATGCCACACATAAGCACTTGGGAAACAGAAGGTGGCTAATAAGTTATGGGGAAATAGGAGATAATTTTAAAATTTAATCATTGAATCATAGAATGCTTCAGATTGGATGAGACTTTAAAGATCATTTAGTTCCAACCCCCCTGCCATGGGCAGGGACACCTTCCACCAGAGCAGGTTGCTCAGAGCCCCATCCAGCCTGGCCTTGAATAGAATTCTCTTTTCTTTTTTTCCCTACTGTATGTTCAGAGTTGATTCTAAACAAGCCAAGATCCTGCAAATCACTGAAGCACGGACCTTAGGGCTGCTCTGGACTGTGGAAGCTTCTGAAATGCCAGAAGCAAGAAAACAGCTCCTGTGAAAACACCAGATCTGAGAAAGAGCCTGGAGGAGGCAGTAAAAAAATTGACTCTTGGAGCTCTGATGTGAGCCTGTGATGACTGCAGCGGCACTTTTCTTTCGGAGTTTTGAAGGTGATAAATCATTATTGATGTTATCATCACTGTGGTGACATATGTCCTCAAAGGAGTAATAAAACACTAAAAATGGGAGTGGACAACGTGAACAAGGTCCTGTTGCCAGCTGCCATCCCACCACTTCTAAAACATCTCCCTCTTGTCCTTGGTCTTTGGACCCCATTTCTGAGAAAACACATCAGAGAGTGTGTGCAAAAGGGCTTAAGAAACAGGTCCAGGCTCCTTTGTTGGGCTGTCTCCCAGCCTGGAGAAGACACCAGACCTGCAGTCACAGCTGTCCCTGCAACCTGGTCACAGTCCCCTCATGTGCTCTGTCACCAGCCACAGCCTAGCTTTCCCAGAGCAGCAAAGAGCAGTAAAAACCTGCAAAGAGCTGTGCTGGATTGATGCAGCTCCTTCTCAGAATGACTCCTTGCAGGGCTGAAGAGAGCATCCTATTATTTGCTGTTGTTTAGCCTGGCATTAAGATGTATGTCCACCAACCCCATATGAATAAGGAGTTCAAGAAGGAGTTTTCACACCATCCAAATTTCTTAAGTCTTTCTGTGCATAATAAACTGACATGAGCTACAAAGAGAAAACATTTACCCTTACCATTGCCTTTTAAGAACAGGTCAAAGAAAGCAGTCCAGGTGTCTACAGTAGGAAGGTTTGGGTTATCTCTGTAGTAATGAAACATGGAAACTGCAGTGTCTTTTGGATTTCTGCTAATGTAGATCATCTATAAGTGAAGAAAATGTAGTTACTAACAATAATATCCTCCCTTTATTTTAGAGGAGCTCTGTGTGTAAATAGAGCATTGTCATAGGCAGTTTGCAGTGTCAAAACCCCTTTAGGATTCCTCCTTCAGTGACCATGCCATTAAATTAGAAATCTCTTCTTAGTAAGGAGTCCATGGTGATTAGTAAACAATTCCATGTGGACAGAGATGGGTAATGTTTATGTTTTATGAAAGAGCCTGTGTTAACTTTAACTTTGAGTCAGTACATTATATCTCTCACATCTGAAAGCTAATTAACATTCAAAGGGTAGCTGCAAAATGTAAATTCTGGCCTTTCATTCAAAACAGCTGTGTTCCAAAAGTCTGGATCTGAGTGATCCTGAAATTTTTGACTTTGAAAATAAAATCTGAGACCCAGAGCTTATTTTTTAAAGATCTTCCACATTAGCATGGGAGGAACTGGTTTAGCAGGTGTCCCTGCCCATGGCATGGGGGTTGGAACAAGATTATCTTTAAAGTCTCTTCCAATCCAGGTAATTCTGTGATTCTGTGAACTCAAAACTGTGCTCTGAATCTGCCTCCCACATTTCATTTCTCCTCTGTTTGCCCAATACCTTTATGGTCTCTTCAGAAAGCTCCAGCAGGAGGGTCAGAGTACCTTTAATCCCAGAGCAGCCTGTGAGTATCCAGGATTTTCTAAGACAGTAGGAAATGGGGTCATGAGTATACCCCCATTACTAATGAGAGATTTCTGATTGAAAGATGCTGATGTCCTATTTTGTGTAGTGCCTGGTGTAGAAGTCACCCCATGGGACCAGTGGGGCAGGAGCATAACCTAATCCCTAGTCCAAGTCTCTGCTCATGTGCCTTCCACTGCTGGTCAGCTGTGTCTTCAAAATTCACAGCAAAACACTTCTAACAGCTGCAAATCATTCAAAAATTACTAAGGATCAGCAGGACAAAACAGATTCCTAGCAGACTTTCTACATATTTTACTGCTTTGATATAATTTTTGCCTTACCTTGCATTTTTTATTCTTAAAATTTGGAGGCAACATGTTGTAGTCTAAATGTGTTGGGATGATTCTCTTTGATGAGAGTTTATTCAGCTCCTCCAGTCGGGAAATGTCTCCAAATTCAATGGGAGATGTTATTGTGACTTGAGTACTGTAAAGCTTTGTTATAACTCCTGCAAGCCAGTGAGTGCCTAAGGAAGAGTAATTTTAAGAAAAAAGAACAACAACAACGAAAAAGGATGAATATTTATTACTGTGAAACATGCATTTTTCATACAGAAACACCTTGCTAGCAAACAAGTTATATTTCTAATCCTCCAGATTCAAGAAACTTTACATGACTACATAATCCCATTGACTCCAAATATATAAACACTGAAAAAAAATTACAGCTATATCTGAATTACAATGTAACTCAGAGAGAAGTGTTAATATTGGTACCAAACCCATCCCATTAGACAAACTGCTGTCAGCTGAGAGGTAGCTATATTGCTTTTATAATTTATTTTAGAATAACCTGTTTGTTTGGGGTTTTTTTCCTTACAATAATTTGAGTCTGTTTTATTTCTGAAAGTACTGATTGAGCTCCCCCTAGGTGTATGCTCCTCTGTGCAAGAGAGGTGGGTGGAGAGGGGATAAGAAATTAATAAATCTACAGTCAAGAGCCACACAAATAACTTCATACAGTTCTTGACTTGCTCATAATTGAATGTAGAAAGTCCTCAAGAAAATCTTTCAAGTACAGATTTTACTTACAGGTTAGGAATATATACTTGCTTTACAACATGAGAACACCTGAGATTGTTTTCAATTACAGAACCAAAATGTAGGGAAATTACCCATGTTTCTTGTAATATGAATTTTTACTGACAGAATAATATATTCACATACTTAAACATCCTCTACTGTTTCTTTCACACAGACATTTCCCAAGTAGTTTAAACAGGGAACATGAAACACAAAATTAAGAGTTCTTGCAACATTGAAAACTAGAACTTACCAGATTTGGGATAGGAAACCAAAAGGACATCATCTTCTCTAGCATCAAAAGTATCCAAGGATTTTAAAAGTTCTGGAGAAGACCTGGTGGTAAAGGGAATCCCCTTAAATGTGTGCAGGAGCTCTGGCTCGCCGGAGTTGGACATGGTTGCTTAAGTCTTGGGTTCCTGCAAATCAGATAACAGGGACAGGAGAAAGATTTAAAAGTCACTTCTTAGTCAGGTGGTTCAAAGTGACAAATTGAGACTGAGCAGCACAAACCTCATGCTTATATACTTTGCCACAATGCCCTATCAGATACTGATTTTTTTTTTTCAGGTAGTTGATAAAGGCAACTGAAATATTAAAGCTAACTTAATAAATAACCAAAATGCTGCGTCATGAAAAATCCATCCCATTTGTAATTTATTGGCTCTCCAGATAAAGATATGAGGTAATGGTCAAAATGTAATTGTGAAAAATAACAAGAATGAACATTACATGACGGCTTAAAATATGCTTAATGTGATTATTCTTTAAGTTATATTTTGTTGGAAACTATTCTTATCTTCCAAGGAAAAAAGATACATCTTAAAATAATTTTGCTTATTAGAAAAAAAATGTCTTATTTTATGTAAACGAAATTTTGTTTTGTTTTATTTTATCAACTATACAACAGCTTGAAATTGCAAAAGTACAAATTGATTCAAAGTGCTTGGAACCAGTGTCTTGAAGATTTTCTGATTTCAGCCTGAGGAATCTTAAAAACAGAGATATTTAGAGGCACAATCATTTCTTAAGATGTTATATGTCTCCATAAGAAGAGTAAAAGCAACAAAAGTCCCCAAATGAAAACAGATATTTAAATATATGTATTATATAGATATTTAACATTGCTTTTAATCCTGTGTGTTTCGTGACTAAAAGTGGTTGAAGATTTTTAAATATTTCCATAGAATATGCAGATTTATCAATACAAAAGTCAGTTTCTGGAAAGACGCAGCTCTCCATTAATTATTTGTTTTCAAATGTTTTTGTTTTAATTTGAATCTGTGGAAATTGTCATTAATATTTTTCAAACAGAAAGCTTCACTTTTGTTTAATGTGACCTTAAGCAATGTGAATGTATCACAGTAAAATAAATAGCTCAGTTGTGAATGAAAACATTTTAGAATGTTTAGAATTTTCAATTTTCCTTTCAATGGCCACAAATTAATTTACTCTTTCCTTAAATTCTTTTCTTCAAAAATCCAGTGGCTTCACTATTCCTGTTGAAAGACTCCTTAAACATATTCAGCCAAGGCCCTTCAATATCTTCAACTCAAAAAACTCCTTGGAAATCTTGGTTTAAAATGAAGCAATGCTTTGGGAATTTTCCAGCTTTACTAACGTTCTTTTTTTATCATAAATAACAACTTGGGTTTGGTCAGAGGAGCTGATTCCCAGATGTACTGCCACAAGTGCTGGTGAGAAGTTAATAAATAGACATATCGTTCTGATAAACACCTGAGCAGCCACGATTGCTCACAATGAGTACGGACACTTACCAGATTCTCTGCTTGCTTATTTCTAATCCAATCACCAGAAAAACCGGCAATGTAAAATTGATTCCCCCCCACCCCCATCTCCTTTCTCAGCCTAAAAGAGAAGTGACCTACTCACCTGTAAAGTTGTCCTTAAAGAGTTATCACTTGCAAAACATGGCTTTTGCCATCAGTAAACTCTGATTTCCACTCATGCAGAGCCAGGTGGGGTTGAAAATCATGGAAAATATGCTCTGGAAAGATGTTCCCTATTGTTAAAGATGAGAGGTGATGGGGATTCTTTCCAGGGAGTCAGTGGGGCTACAAGAAACACTTGGATATTGGCGCTCAGATAGGAATTAGGGAATCTCTCAGAGGAGCTCAACATTTTCCTCCCGGCCCCAGGCTGAACACCTAAGCCACTGCTTCACACCTTAAGGTGTAAATACTCAAAAATCTATCTTTGTCAGCAGATTTCACTTTGGTTACTTCAGGTATACAAACTATGTCCAAAGACATAAAAAATCCAGTTCCTGTGTTATTCTGAATGTGCATTTTAATCTGTATACAGAGATTTCCGAGGCTGATTTTGTGAGTTATCATTCTGGTTATAGGAATGTAGCACAAGCCAGTAAAACTTTACTGCCTTGACCTGGCAGAAGTGATCTCATTGTAAAAATGTTTTGCATATTTACCATGCTTATTCTCTTTCATTTCCTCCTGTATTCTTGCTACATTTTGAATCAGTGCATTTTCCTCATCTAACAACTTGGACCTGAATTAATCATTCACAACAGAAATTGCTAAGATGTAAAACAGAAGCAATACAGTAGCCAGAAAAATTCCAGTTCTTTTAGCTCATTTCAGTTGCTTTTTGTAGTATCTTATATTTTATAAGTATGTGTAATGGCAGTCCAGGGGAAATTAATTTTGTTGTCCCCAAATGCTACTTGTAGTTGGAAAATAAGGCTTATCCCTGCAAGGGAGCAGTATCCTGAAATTCAACAACTTAAGGAACAAGAGAATATTCAATACCTTCCAGGAAAAAGCCATTATTAAAACCATGCCAACTACATTGCCATAAAATATATTGTTATAACTGCATTGTACAAAGAGAGCAGAAGTTTAAAGAAGATGGTGCTGAACTTTCCATCCAAGTTTGATTTTCCTCTTTATCAATGTATATGTGTGTGTGTGTGTACGTAAACATGTATATATAGACACTCCAGGACTGCAGTACCTATTGCCTGATCTCTGTATCAGACTCTGAGGAGCTTTTCCCAGTGCCAAGTTCCCCTTGTCCTGGTCTCTGCTATCCATACTAATGGACTGCACACATTACTAGCAGGTTTCACAGGTGTGTCTTGCTGGGGAGCAGTGCCAAACTTAGATTTTGGGGATTCTTCATTATTTGAGCCAAACGTAGCTGGGCAGCTGGACCCTGCTTCAGTCCAGCTCCTCCTGTCTCCATATCTGGCTTGCCTTCTACCATCTATAACCTTGTCCGATAAGAAATTTATTTTTTAATGACTTTAAAATTTTGTCTGTTCTGTTCCTGCCTCTGCCCTGCAAGCTCCAATTCAGACTCACCATTCTCTTCTTTGGTTGATAAATGGCAGTACCATGTACATCTCCTTCAGCTGAAGATTTCTCAGCTGAGGCCACTCTATTCCCCTCCAAACCCCTCTCAGGCAGCACACGCTGAAAACACATTGTGATATTGTGGAAATATGCAGGCAAAGCCACGTTTTGTTTGCACAGGTGAAAATTTGGGTGCATATCCACAGAGTTCTGAGTAGTTTTAGCTCTCAAGCATCAGGCTTCTCCTTTTTTTGAAATGTCCTAAAGCTGTGAAATATTTCAGTGTTGTGGTAATGAATGGAGTGGTAAAACTGACGTGGCCAAGATCTGAAATGCCTCCAGTTCATCATTGTTCCAGGTCTGATGAACCCATATGTCCCTAAATGACAAAGCATTTAACTTCACCTGATGCACCTGGGAGTAGAATTTCCCTTGAAATGTTTCAGTGAAATCCCTATTTATTTTAATGTTACAAATGAAGTGTCTTGTATAAGTTTATGGCCAATGGCTATTTAATAGAGACAGCCTAGAAAATATTGGATGCAGCACGAGTGCTTGGACCATTTGGGTCCAGTGTCATTCATCCAGTGTCTGGATGCTGAGAATTTAGGAACCTCACCCTGGGTTTCTGTGTAGCTCTAAAGAAACTCAGTGGCAGGATGGGTGTAGGGCTGCCCACAACACATCAAGACTCTGCCTTAGTGAGCAGGTCCTAGCTATCAGGGAGTGTGAGTTAGCCATGGCTGCTTTACTGAAATGGGCTGTACTGGATCCGTGTACACTTCCAACAGAAGTTCTCTTCCTGGTAGGGCTTCCCTGCAGCATCTGAGTGCTCTCAGTCCCTCCATCCTTCTTAGCATAAGTCATCGCCTGTGGATGTTTCATGCTACATCTACAACTGAAACAGCTAATCAGAGCTAATCACAACAGTGCCACTGAAGCCAGCAGAGCCCTGCCCTGGCAGAGGATGGCAGGCCAGTGCCACCACTCAGGTCACTGCTATCTCTCCAGGTCCTGCCCTGCAGATGCACATGACGACACCTCTGGGGCGTGAACACACACAGAATGAGGACATGAATGGGAGGCAGCGGGACAAGGTCAGAAAGGAAAATCGAAGGGTTAAAACCTTCATTGGTCTAAAAATCTGATGCTGTGTGCATGCAGGTGGGCTCAGCTAGGTAAGCCCTCTCCCTCATCTGTCAGGGCAGGGTTGCCTAGAGGCATTCCTGGGAATCCAGAGAGAGAGGACAGGCCATGTAGGCCTGATTTATTTTCTGCTAATCTTTATTGGCTTATTGGCCCAGGAATTAATTACAAAAACTAATGAGTCACTCTGCTATTACTGGTGCACAAGCACTTCAAGTGGCACTAGGACCTTCATTGGTGGTTGGAAATTATTTCAACTTGTTTTGATTTGTCATTGTAACTGGACAGAAATATTTTGAAGCACATGTGCAATATTAAGCTAAAGTATCCTATGGGGAGCCAGAAAAAGTCCAGAAAGAAAAGCATTTCGATGGGTTTTTCAGAGATCTACAATATGTGGAGCATCACTAAACAGAAAAGTCTGATGGCAAATCCTATCCTGTTGGTCCACACACTGCCTTTAAATTCAGCATCCCCTGGACACAACTACATCTTAAGGTTATCCCTGATTTCAAAGTTCTTTAAGTTGTCTCAGTCTTAAGTTATTAGATATGAGCTGTAAATTGCTACAGGAAAATCAGGAAATGATAGAGAGGAGCTGGGAAGCACTAGGAAGAAAGCTGACTCCTTCCCAGCTAGCTCCAATACAGCTCAATCTTGCCCAAAGCAGTCACTCCTGGACAGACAAATTAATTCCAAAGTCCAAAGGGAAGTTACTTGGTTGGTACTTGTAACAGCATTCTGTGATTTGTGATGGGAACAGCAAGCAAAACTCAGGCCTGATCCAGACTGGCTAAGTGAAGCACAAGTTTCCTGTCAGTTCTCTGCCTTTGTGTCATCCAGTGGCTGGGTAATATCCTGCAAAGTTTTTGTTTCTTCTCTCTTGTTAGGAACTTTAATACATTTGTTAATACTTT